CTCTGTTGAAAAAGAGAGAGACAAAAAATGTGGCTTAAAGTTTATTGCACATCTTTAACAGGCGAGCTCGGTTGTTTGCCAAGACCGTAACGCGTTTCTCTCTCTCTCTCTCTCCTCTCCCCCTCTCTCTCTCTTCTCTCTCTCTCTCTCTCTCTCTCTCTCTCTTCTCTCTCTCTCTCTCTTCTCTCTCTCTCTCTCTCTCTCTCTCCCTTCTCTCTCTCTCTCTCCCTTCCTCTCTCTCTCTCTCCTCTTCCTCTCTCCTCTCCTCTCCTCTCCTCTCTCTCTCTCTCTCTCTCTCTCTCTCTCTCTCTCTCTCTCTCTCTCTCTCTCTCTCTCTCTCTCTCTCTCTCTCTCTCTCTCTCTCTCTCTCTCTCTCTCTCTCTCTCTCTCTCTCTCACACACACACACACACACACACACACACACACACACACACCACACACACACACACACACACACACACACACACACACACACACACACACACACACAACACACACACACACACAAACACACACACACACAGATGGACACACACACACGCACGACCCACACACACACACACACACACACACACACACACACACACACACACACACACACACACACACACACACACACACACACACACACACACACACACACACACGCACACACACATACACACACACACACACACACACACACACCACACACACACACACACACACACACATACATATATATATATATATATATATATATATATATATATATATATATATATATATATATATATATATATATACTATACACACACCACACACAAACACACACATATGTGTGTAAAAATAACTACAACAACGACAACAATAATGATAATGATAATAAGAATTATTATTATTATTCTCACTATAATGATAATGGTGATAATGTTAATGATGATAATAATGGTAATGATGATGATGATGATGATGATGATGATGATGATGATGATGATGATGATGATTGATGATGATGATAATAATAATAATAATAATAATAATAATAATAATAATAATAATAATAATAGCAATGATAATAATGAGTGTAATAATGATAACACTGATAATGATCATCATCATGATGATGATAATTATGAAAAATAAAGACAGAAAAATGGTAATTACGATGATAATAGTAACAATAATAATTATAATGATAATGATAATAATAACAACAGCAATAATGATAATAATGATAATGATGATGATGATAATAATAATAATAATAATAATAATAATGATAATAATAATAATAATAATAATGATAATATAATAATATAATAATAATAATAAAAATAATGAGAATAATAAGGACGATTATTATCATAAGCATAATGATCTGAAGAATAATAAAGATAGCAATAATGATAGCAATAATAATAGGAGGAATAATAATTATAATAATAATGATCATGATATTACTACTACTAATAGTAATAACGATAACAATAATGATGATGATGGTGATGATGGTGATGATGATGATGATGATAATGATGATGATAATAATAATAATAACAATAACAATAACTAAATGCCCTCAGAGAACCGATATCTCCGCCAAAGCAATAGGAGAAAAAGTTGTCCCTATCTCGCAATGCTAATAAGAATAATAATTACCCCTTGCAACAGGGGTAACTTATGCAATAATAAAATATATATATAGATCCGGGTCATGATCCGGATCGCTACCAAGATTTAATGGCATCTAAGTTGGGCTAAGAAAAAGGGTTAAAGATTTATAAAAAAAAAAGAAAAAAAATCATATTGAGTTATACTGCTAACGAACAAATAAGTATAACCTCCTTGGCAAAGGTAATGATAATAGTAAGAATGACCGTAATGATACTAACAATAATGATGATGATAACAATAATAGTGATTGCAATAATACCTACATCAATGATAATAATAATAATAATAATAATAATAATAATAATAATAATAATAATAATAATTATAATAAAAAAAATAATAAATGATAATAATAATAATTACATAATGATAATAATAATAGTAATAACATTAATGATGATAATAATAGTAATAATGATACTATTGCTAATGTCAACAATAATGCTAATAATAATAATGATAAAATAATAATTATAATAATAATAATAACAATAATAACAATAGCAATGTTCATAATAATGCTAATAATAATAAGAAATAATGTTAATGTTGATGATAATATTAATAATGATGATGATGATGACGATGATGATAATGATTATATTGATAGTAACAAAAACAATATTAATCATTATAACAATAATATTGATAGAATAATAATAACAATTATTAAAAGAATAATGATAATGATAATAATAATAATGATAATACTACAACTACTACTAATAAAAACAATAAGAATACCATAATCATAAATATGACAAAAACAGTCCACTAACTATAACAATAGCAATAATACCAAATACAATAATAAAAATATCCATACCATCAACAATAACGATAACAAAATGGTAATGTCAGAATTGATACTAACGATTACATGGATATTTAAGTTTCAATGACCACTACAAACAGTAGCTCATACACTGTAGTACAAGCAGTAGTAACACGATAGGTGCAGCCTTCAGGGGAATGGGTGCTATTACTCTCCTGTTATTTGATTGTGTCGACGCCTAATTTCATTTCGAGTTTTCTGTTAGTAATAGGAAAGAAAAGGATGATTAAGAATGTGAAAAAATGGAGTATGATTCTGTAAAATCTTGTTGGCGAGAGAGGAAGAGAAAGAGGATGGGAAAAAATTGTTTTAACACATCGATTTAAATAACAGGTATTCATCTCTCTCACCCTGTATATTTACCTCCTCTCTCTGTCTCTCTTTTTCTGTCTCTGTCTCTCTCCCTAACTATCTATGCATCAATCTATTTGTCTATCTATACATTGCCTTTATATACTCACAACCCTGTATCTCTACACATCAATTTAACAACAGGTCTGTAACATCCACCTCTCTCTTTCTGCAAGAGAGAGTCGCAACTACAATAGACACATCGCGACATACCAGAAGATGACAAGACAGAGTGAGAGCGGAAGGAGGGTCTTCTCTTCAGAAAAGGGGATCAAAATCACTTACGATCCTCATACAAATAGGGGAGACGTTCGCGTAGATTTTCAATGGAAAAGCGTCTTCCTTGCTCCTTAAGCTCATGCAGACCTTTTTATCCCTTTAATTGCTGGGTAAGAGCGGCGCTGTTGTTGTTGTTTTGTTCTTCTTCCTTTATTGCTTTTTGTGGTTCTTTTTGTGTGCACCGTAACATGAGCTTCATCTGGCTGACGTGACACTCCTGAGAACTAGCTGTTGCCATACGTCATCTCCACTCCGGACGCAGGGGAACGGATGGAGAGAGATGAGGGGGGGGGGGGGAAGAAGAGAAGATAAACATTTTGGATTGGAAGGTTTAAAGATGGAAATAAATTGGTCTACAGAAAGATGATGGTAGGTGGACTGATAAACAGACAGTCAGGCAGAAAGATATATAGATAGAAAGGGGAAAGGAAGAAATGGTTGATTAATAATCCACAAATAAAGGCAAAGTAGTTATAGGAGAAAGGCAAAGTCTGAAAATGGTGAGTGGTTAAGAGACAAGGATGAGTCATGGCTTAAGATAAAAGCCGGACTTTTAATTATTATGCTCTTGCGTTATTGTTTTTAAGCATGATATTCATCTCCGTCTTCCGTAGGATAAGCAAGAAGTAACGGGATGGGGAGAAAAGGGAGTCGAGTTCTGGCAACCTTCTGGTGGCGTGACACTTGTCGCATCTGTGTCGCAGCTGTGCGTACATTGTCTTCCTCAATAACAATTTGCAACCGTATTTCCTTTTCCCAGACTCAGACTCAATTCAGAATGTCTGGGACCAGTTGTCAGCTCTGTTTTTTTTTCTCTCTCTTTCTAAGTTGAAGACATTTCAGGATATGTTCCTGCTTATCTTTCGACTTTTTCTTTTACCACAAACACCATCCCACATATACTATCACTGCTAATTGTGCTTAGTGTATAGTTCATACATCAGTTTCCCTTTCATACTTGTAACAGATCGTACTTCTCACTTGCTGCAGTTGCTGTCACTGACCCGTATTATATTCAGTTACCATTCAAGTCAAACTGATTGGCATCCTTTGCCCTCTTAAGCACATTCTATAAATGTCGCTACATCTCCCTTGCTGTGAAATTGTTGCTGACCATTGTTATAATTCGACACTGGCAGACACCTCTTTGTTGACTTTACTAACTGTACTTCCTGTGATATTTTTTTGTTTTGTTTATTTTCAATTGGGACAAACAAATGCATTCACTTCTGCTGTCAAATATGCTTTTTGCTGTCAAATATGCTTTTGCTTGATCGGTATTGTTTATCCTTTTCTAGTTATTCTCATTAAAGTAACATTGTTTTCAGGTTATTTTTTCTAAGACAGCTGCCATAATTCTCCTACTTCTTACAGTAAAATTTTAACTGAAATCTTAATATCACTATTACATAGAGTTTTTCACAATACATTCCTCTTTGATAGTTTCCCTTAACAACTACCAGTACCAAAACTTATCTGTTGCTCAAAATCTGATGGAAAATGATAAAAAACATTGCTTTACAGGCCAGTTTGAATTAACTCATATTCCTCCTATTATCAAAATTGTTTCTCTTTTTATTGATGTACATGTAAGCATAATTATAATAAACATAAGTCACTTAAAAAGAAGTAAACAAATTAGGTAACAGTTTTATTATACAGTAAAAATAAGAATAATTGTAAAGTAGCAACAGTAACAGTAGTAGCAGAAATAGTAAAATAGTAATATCAATAATAGTGATAATAAGGATTCCATCATAGAATACCAACTTGCTATGTAGCCCTCTTCATGTATTTCAGTACTTTACGCTCTCTCAGACTTTACCAAGAAAAATATCTTGAATCCAGTATACAAGAATTATAAAGAAAAAAACATGAAATTCTCTCCATATTTTATTGTTTCTCAGTATTACAGAACATCTATAAGTTAGAGAATACCAAGATCAAGTCGACAACAACAAACGGGGAAGAAATTATTGAAAAAGAAACACTTTTGGCTACATATTGTTGATTTTGAGACCTTTCTGTCATTATCATAGCAGTATTATGAATAAAGGAAGGACAGAGGAAGCACTTTGCAAACATTTTATGGTCACAGGGGATGGAAATGCATTTTGGTCTGCTAAAAAATATGAATAGGAAATAGTGAATATTACAACAGTAAAATCTTTTATCCCACTGCTTTGACTACATACAACTCCTTTTATCTCTTACACAAATGGTGATTATGCACAGATCCACATTACTATAAAAGGAAAGTAAAACTTCCATCTCTCTTACATGTTCTTTTTCTTTTTCTGTTTACATCTCTCTCCCTTTCTCTCTTTTAATACTTCCCCCACCTCCTCTCTTACTTCCTTTCTCTCTCATTTCTTTCTTTTCTTCCCCTTTCTCTCTTTTGCTCTTTTCACTTTTTCTGTGGGTGAATAACACTAAGCATTTAAAATATTATAAAAATCTAATAAATACCCCTTTTCCCATTAATTTTCATCTTTTCTACAATAAACTATTCCATTCATTACTACCTTTACCTGAAGCGAACCACATTCACATTCTGACAACCCAAGCACCACAAAAACAGGAGTACTGAGTAACGAAATCGAAGTCACCTCATGAAATTAACAAACCAATAATATTATCTATAGATATTCTCTTTTATCATCCCTGACAACACTCACTCATATAAAAAGAATAAGCTATTCTCATTGTTCTTCTTGATCTTCATTTTCTAGAACAATCTTTGCAACGGAATTGTAGTGCTCTCCTAGTCCATAGTAGTGACGATAGTAAGCAAGGAGAATGGAACTGTCCTTATCACACTCTTCACCAAAGATAATGGGTGCTCCCTCAGCCTGTAATAAAAATGGCAAAAAGTTACAATAACAAATAATAGTATTAAAAACTACAATGTTATTCAATCACAAAAAAAGAAAAAAGGCAACTAAAAGCAAATACATATTAGTGGAAACCTTGAATAACAGCATCAGTGTTGTTTAAGGGTACAGTTTTATACCTGGAAAATAACATATGATGGCACAACAACAACACACACACACACACACACACCACACACACACACACACACACACACACACACACACACACACACACACACACACACACAACACACACACACACACACACACACACACACACACACACACACACACACACACACACACACACACACACACACACACACACACACACACACACACACACACACACACACACACACACACACACACACACACACACACACACACACACACACACTTACCTGCAACACTTCAATTCTTCTCTTCATTGCTTGGGACAATGCTCTCAACTGAAAAATAAAAACAAAAAAAATTGTAAGAACATTAATTGTCGAATATGAAAGAAGAAAAATTGGTAAAAAAATGAAGAGTACCTGGAGGAAAGGAGACAGATTTTGACTATAAACTAAAAGCTCTTTTATAAGCTATTTGACCTTTAACAAATATGTACCTATAAAAATTACTGTTCCTATTGTTAGATGCAACATATACAGTCAACAAATTTTCATATGGGTTACAACTTTGCATGACAAACACATACTGTATACATAACAGAAGAATATTAGCTTTCCAAGGATTACTGTTTATGATACAATAAAATAATCTCAATCCTAATGTAATATCATCAGTATAAAAATTCAACAAGCATTATAACACTGACTTCAGTGTTTTAACTCATAGTTAAATTGACTTCAGCAATTAGTTCATTCCTCCATTTTGTATATTAGCTCAATATAAAGTTCCCTTCACTCCCAAGTTACCCAATCAGCTACAAAAGTGCAGACTATCAGTTTTGACTCTTGTATATGAAACACATTCCCTTGCTTGTAATGGCATGTGTTTCTGATATAGGAATTAAACTGGACAGTTCATATACCAAGTTGTAAGCTTCGAAGTAGATGGGAATGTATATCACTGATCATTCAAACATGAAATAATGTTTCATATATATTCCTAGCATAGAAGAGTTCTCTTGCTATCAATTCAGACCAAAGTCTTACAAAGACACCCATCACTTGAAGATGTAAGAATCATCTCGAGTGGGGGGGAAATGCTTTCTCAGTACACAAAATCTGTAATTCCCATCTTGATATAAAGCACTCTCAGAAGATACCAATTGTGTGGTAATATATTTGTCACTAGAATTAATATAGTGAAATTATAATGAAGCTTTATCCATATTTCAAACTAAATTAATTTCAGATAAAAATGATAACACCGCAGCAACAACTAAGCCCTTATCCATATTTAGACTTCTTCATGGCACATGGTAAAACCCTTTGGTGGCTTTTCGTTTGCTTGAAGTCTAAAAATAAATATACTATGGTGTTTTACATTTTTCATAACAGCATCTCTGGCATACATAATCAGAGCTACCACTGATTAATCACTCTTACAATCCCCTCAAAACACTGAAAATATTCTCTGTAAAGATCTGAATATGAAGGTTTAAAGAATTCTATTTGTTGTAATTTCAATTCTGAGAAAATAAGAGACTTTATTGCCTCTGTGGGTACCCATTCTTATAGTGAAGTCAGACAGAAAAAGGTGTGAAAAGAGTACTGCTTCAAGATTAATATCTTGTCAACTAAAAGAAAGAAAGAAAAGAAACAATAAACAACTGCCTGAAAACAAATCATAGTTTCTACCTCCCATCAAACAGGACAGAGCAGAAAAAAAATAAATAAACAGCATTCGACTGCATGACCTGCTGCAAAATTTGTTTAACTCAACCCACTAGCGACAGTACAATTTTAATGCCAAAAACAAAAGTTTCCGGGTGGCTTCTAAATTGGTGTGCAGGGCTGGCTCGGAATCTGCCCATGCGCTGGCCGCGGCCTGTGACGGAATCGGAACAACAGCTCCGATCCAGTGTCACACTGGCGGGACGTCCGGTAATGTTTATTTTTCCGGGTGTCACATATGCATGACACCCATCGTAAGTGGGTTAACATCAATTTCTAGTAATATATCACTTTTCTAAAACTGATACATATGAAAAGTTCATATTGATACACTTCATGACTATCTTCTGTCTTCAGTGCATGATGATTTCCTTCTATTTATTTTTTTATAGCATTAAAAAAAAAAAAGAGGATGATTCTGTTTATGATTTTTGTTGAAGATAATTTGTCATGATTAAAAAAGAAAAAAAATAACTAACCTCTGGCTGACCTCCCCATGCAGGAGAGTTTTCAACCTGATTGCAATATTCTTCAAATTGCTCTGCAGTCAGCATGTCACCCGTTTTGGGGTCTGTAATAAATGGTGCAAATTCTTCTGCATTAACTCGCAGGAACTGGCCAGCCTGTGACCTAAGTGTCTCAACCGTGGTACCCTTTTCCATTTGATGAGCAATAGCTGCGTACATGCTGAGGGGAAAAACATTTCTTATCAACAAGAACCAATGGAACCAACTTATACACCATAGTTAATATTTACCATTGTATCCATATTCTATGATCAGAAGAAAGAGTGAGAGGCTGAACCAAGAAGAAAAATAGAGGAAGCTTGATATTAGGGTAATATTTCCATGGAGCATACCAATTGCCATCAGGCTGGATCTCATGCATTTTTAAGGATCGTTCTTGCAGGATTTTCTTCATCTTCTCAGCCTCGATGTTTCTCGCACTAAACTTGAGATTAGATCTCTCTTCCTTTATTCTGGCTTCTCGTTCACGATTTGCTTTGGCCTTCTTCTGACGTCGCTTCTCTGCCTTGGTTATTCTTCTTCCTAGAATAAAAACAGACATTTGGTTTAATAAAATATACAGCAGGATGATGTATATGAATTTGTGCACTCTATAGCACATTATACTAACCTTGGTTAGGATCCTCAAGATCATCTTCATTTTCTTCTGCACCATCAGGCTGTTCACTGCAATTCTCCTCCACATTTAATTCAGCTACACCATTTGTTACAGCTTCTTCCTGCAATAGAAAATTTGGAACTATGTTACCATGCAGTTTATCTTTTACATTAATTCTTTATCATAACCTTTAGATAAAAACCTCACAACTCATTATCCAACAAAGACCAATATTTTTTTCTATCAGAATGCATACCATTCTTTCAGAACTGAAATGAGAAGTTTTACATTCAATTTAACAAGAATAAGTAACAATCTTGTCCTGGAGAGAGCTGAGCCAATGTAAAAAACAATAACAACAATGACAACTTCTGGTGAAGCTGGGTGACAATAGGCGTGTATAAGTGTATGCTGCTTCACACCTGGGGAATTGTCTGGCGTGCAGTAGTGCACAAGTGCACACCCCAGTGATCAGGACAAATGGATGGATTTACCCCTTAATTCTTGTTGCTTCGCTGCAATCACATGGCTCTAAATACAGGCATTAGGCTTACATGAGTTGCCACTCTGTAGAGTATGCAGCTTGTAGGTCAGGCATATGGGAACACTTGCGAGCGTGAAAAGACTCAATGACTGCCCTTTGCGATCTCTTTTTACGCATAAGCAATTTTTGTTTTTTCTTTCTGCTTTATCTAGAAGGTAAATGACTGTTTTCCTTGCACAGACTGCAAATCATCCCTCTAGGTAGTCCATGACTCAGTGAAAAAAGTAACATTTTGTTATTTGTGTCTTTTTTTTTTTTTTTTTTTTTTTTTACAACTTGTGCTACTGGT